TATATATATATATATATATATGTGTGTGTGTGTGTGTGTGTGTGTGTGTGTGTGTGTGGTTTACATTGTCTAATATCAGTTTTTCTTTATTATTTTTCTAACAGTACAGCCTCTGAATTCTACCATGGATTCAAAGCAACAGTGGTTCAGAGCTGCTTTCTACAAAAACTCGCGCATTAAAACTGGGGCCAACCTTAAACATGCAAGGCTGCAAATTAAGAGACCACACATGGACAAAAATACACCGGGCAAGCCGTGGCTTTCAAAAGACATTGTGGTTAGAATGCATAAACCTCCTGGTTTTCATACAGAGACTGTATTTCACACTGGGGACTTGAGCTCTCGGGATGTTATGTTGGATTTGACAGTTGCGGTTAAGAAGTGGCTTAAGGACAGCAGTGCTGAGCTTTTAGTTGTTGAAATTTGCCTCCTTAAAAAACAAGAAGTGAGTACACAGTCCACGCCTCAGCTTGCTTTACAACTTGACCAAGCAGTGAGGAGAAGAAACAGAAGAGCTCTGTTTACTAGAGAGGAAAGTGTTGAGGATGAAGGTCACTGTAGGCGAAAGTCATTAAATGTTTCCTTCAAAGACATCGGCTGGTCAGACTGGGTTATCGCTCCCTCGGGCTACACTATGCACTACTGTGATGGTTCCTGCCTGCATAATTATAAACCTGCCAGTATGCATACGCAGGTGAAGTCTCGTCTGCATCTCTTGTCCAAGGGAACGATACCCGGTCCTTGCTGCGTACCAGCTGCGTATGAGCCAATGGTTCTCATGCACTATGACAGTCGTGGAAAGTTGAAGCTCACGCCTTTCAACGATTTGATAGTTAGTAAATGCCACTGTGCATGAACAACACTGGCACGTTTTTAAAAGAGACTAGTTATACTGAACATTATATTCTCAAAAGAGAAGATGATAAAGAGGCTAAATATCTAGCTGATAAAATGCAAATCAATGCTCTCATGCTCATTTGGTTGCAATCCTTTGGTTTATAAAATAGTTTGGCTTCTTAAGGAAACCAGATGCCTGCTTTTTTACATACACTGACAGGTTGAATGGGTGCTGTATTTTCACATGATTGACTTAATATATCAAGTTATTTATATTGTAATTTATTTGAAATGTTTTTGTACTTGTTTGTTACTGTGTTGTGAATGAATCAAGAAACCTTTTGTATTTTTGAAAGAATATTAATAAAGTATTAGCTTTAAGGAAATAATCATATATTTTCAGTATGGATGATTAATGTGTGAATCACTGATCACATTTCAATAAAGATGATTCAACATCTTTCAATATAAGATGTAAATCCTCACATACAGTATTGTGTGAAACCAAAATTGAGCTGCAATGAAAACTCTGGATGTTGTTAAAAAACTTTTGTATCACTGTTTATATGGAGAATAGGCCATCAGAATGAATCATCTGTGTATGATTCACTCAGATCATATAACAATGAACTATAAAATGAATTCACACTTACGTTTTACATACGTAAGTGCAAAACTATAAATTACAGTCTTTTATAATAATATTTTACAATATCCGGTCAGTTCTAGATAATATTTCAAGGTGAGGTCATGCCATAAGTATCCATAAAAGATATTTAGCCATGTTGATCAATAGCCATATTTATCCTATCCATAAAGATAGGCCAGATCTAACATCTGTAGCCTTGAAACCACACAGTGTCATTGACCTTGACCAGAGAGTAAATGTCCTCTGAAGCAACCACAGCGGAGGCGTGAGTTCATTTGGGATTCAGTATTTACAAAATACTGTCATTTTTAGTGTCACTGTAGTCCATAAATATTTGTTGTCTTTCAACATTTTGCTGACTGTAAATGTTTTTGAGATACATTATCTGATGTATTGTTTTGACATAATGTAACAATGTAATTGGTAATGATAACAATTATAACTGTAATCACACAATGAAGCATAAAGCAATAAACACTTCCTTGTACTTGAATCATTTTACTCACTTCAAAGACAAATTACTGGCTCATATATCAATAAAACTGATTTAATACATTTAAATGTAATGAATCATGTTTAATAAAACAATGTGGCGATATAAACAAGTATTTGCTCTCTACTTCTTACGCATGAGGGTATAGTAAAACTACAGTTAAGACTACTGGCACACATTTAATCTGATCTGTGTTACCAGGCTATTGACACACCCTATGTCAGGGCTGGGCAACTTCGGTCCTGGAGGGCAACTGTCCTCCAGGGTTTAGCTACAACCCTAATCAAACACACCTGCCTGTAGCTTTCTAGTGATCTTGAAGACATTGATTATTTTGTTCAGGTGTAAAGTAGTCATTCTCACTTTGTCTGTTTCAGCAAGTTAGACGATCATATCTCGCTGACAAGTTTAAAATGTTGATAGGCAGAATTCTCCATACACTTTGCAAGTCACTTTAATATATACTCTCTCTCTATCTCTCTCTCTGTGTGTAAGATACAGTACTAACACTTCAGCCATGTTTTTGAGCCCTAATGAAGGCAGTAGTGCCATCCAAAGTATATTTGGAAAGGGCCAATGTAATGTTTAAATTCTGGTAAATGGCCTTCAACTGACTATAACTTTGATGTAAATTAAAAGTATATTTAAAGTCAACAACAATCTCATCTGAGATCTGCAGTTGAGAAACATAACTGTCACTTGTCAAAAGGATATGCAGCAATTTTAAGAAATATATTTTACCACGTATTTTATTATTTTTCAGAGAGATGTGTATGATTAACACCTAGACAAACAAGGGCAAACAAAGACTGAATTGTATGCCTTTGACTGAGACACTTCAGTTCCACAGTGCTATATAAAACTTAATGTTCCACTTGTTGCATTGTGGAAGTGGAAAAGACACTCTCAGCTAATTTGTAGCTAATCACTGAGAGAGGAGATCTTTCAGTGAAAATTTCAGCGAGTCACAGTGACAAAACGATTGTAAGACACAGTCATGATGGATAATTATTACCACCCCTTAATGAATTGAAAGCTTGCAAAACAAGTTTTGCATGTGAAAACATAAGCATAATCCTTATGAAATATGATGCATGTGACATAAACTGCACATAAACTACTGTTCAAAAGTTTGGGGTTGGAAAGATTTTTTAAATGTTTTTTTAGAGAAGTCTCTTATGCTCAACAAGGCTGCATTTATTTGATCAAGAATACAATAAAAAACAAATATTGTGAAATATCCTTTATTCATGTGATCACAAAGCTGAATTTTCAGCAGCCATTACATCAGTCTACAGTGTCACATGATCCTTCAGAAGTCATTTTAATATGCTGATTTGCTGCTCAACGTTTCTTATTATTATCTATCTCGAAGAGTTGTGCTGCTTAATTCTTTTGTGGAAAATATGATACACTTTTTCAGGATTAATTGATGAATAGAAAATTCAAAAGAACAGCATTTATTTGAAATAGACATTTTGAGTAACATTAGAAATGTCCTTACTGTCCCTTTTGATCAATTTAGTGTGCCCTTGCTAAATGAAAGTATTTACTTCTTCAAATAAAATCTTACTGACCACAAACTTTTGAACAATAATATACAAAAAGATATCAACTTAATTAATTCAGGAAACATTTTTAACATTAAAACGTATGAAAGTCCCCCTATCCCTGTCCAGCATACTGACCAACATCTCAACTAGAACTTAGCATGTTGGTCCAACAAACCAGTATAAACCAGTCTGTAGAGCATGGAACATTCACGCTGGTCGTTTCAGTGGGGATTATTTGCAGTCGGCAAGAACACCTGTTAAACTGTGATAAATGAGGTCATGATTATGTTTTGCTGTCTCACAGTGTGTTCAGTCAATAAATTACATTGGCTTGTGTACTGCTTGTAAGGGCATTTCAATCCCTCAAGTCAAAACTATTTCTTGGCCAGAATGTTTTGCCCTTGATTTTACCCTTTGAAAATAAAGACTTACTATTATTTCATATCATGTAAGTACAAATTATCCTGAACATTTTGTGGATTAATACTGGACAGCAAACCATTTCAGACTTTCAAGCATCTGGCATGATGTAAACATCCTCAGAGATTTCAGCCTGATCTGGATGGAAGAGGGCAGGATCATTGCTGTAGATTGCATCATGTGGATCACACTGCAGGTATGCTTGATGGTCTCTAAAAGGGGGCAAAAGTGAAATTCCAGTTCTTTCAGTTCAGTCCAAATATATAACCCAATAAATATCGCTGCAAAATAAAAACTCCTTTAATGTGACTCTCTCTGACTGTTATGACACTATTGCCACACATTCATGATGTCACTGTGATCTTGCAAAACAGACAGCAAATAAAACTTAGCAGTAAATTCCATTCCTGCTTTAAAGACTTATCACAGCCTTCTCATCACCCGGTTTCTAATGATCTACATTTGCGCAGTGGCCTACACACGCATACAGATTCGACTTTTTGTACTTTACCTGTGTGTGTCCTTGCTCTGTACAGAACAACTCTGAAATTCATGCAGATTGGACTGTCCATGAAAGTTCTCATAGACTGGGCTCTGTGGTGCGGGTTGAAGTCCTCCGGCGTATACACTGTACGGAGACTCCCTGGAATGATCATCTTGGCTCTTATCTTGGCTCTTAAGTTTGTTAGATAACTCAATATCAACCGATTTTCTGTGTCGAAACCAGAAAAACACTGCTATCCCCACCAGCAACAAAGCCACAAAGAATATAGGCAAACCAACAGCAAGTCCAAGTGACGGGCTGCTGCCAGGGATGCAACCCTCTGTAGAATTACTTGATGGGAAACAAGTGCTATTTCCATCCATGGTCTAAAAGGGATAGAAAAATAATGTTATTATATCTATAACGAAATGCAAACACTCAAAGAAAACTTTCGCATCTATGTATTTCGCAAGAGAAAGTGATATTTTTAGTACTGTTATGTAGGCCACACTGAAATTCATCAAATTAACATTGAAGCTATTATTTGTACTAATGTAACCCCAATGAATCGTTCATAATAGAAATAACCTTACCGTATTGTGTAGGTGAAACTATATCACCTATGTCTGTATCACTGTTGCTGGCAGAAATGGTCAAGCTGTCGTTTGGCATTTCTTTTTGCAGAAAGAGCTTGAAAGTTCCGCTTTCAATGCAGTAGTCATGCAACCTGGAAATTCACACCCCCACACAATCATTCTTCCTGTTGTCTTCCTGTAAACAGTTATACATCTGCTCTGAAAAGGAGATTTGTGGGTTCATGTTAATAGGAGCTATAATTGATATGCAAATAATAGCTGAGCATAACCTCTCAAACTTTACCAGCAGTTTATTAAATATGCCAATTGTTCTAGCCGTTGATCACAAAGCCTTCAAAAATCAAGAGTTTTAATCATGTTAAAAACAAATATATGAAAGCTATTGGTAACAATGCTACACTGGCCTATAAGTATATCACTGCCAGAAAACCACTAAATGTGACAAGTTAGATTAAATTTAAATGAAGTTAAATGACAGCAGGTTAACCAAACCTAGACTTCAAACTGAAGCTCAAAAGTAGAAAAAAGAAAGACGAAAAAAGAGAAGGTAACTCAGATGTTGTGGGTAATGCTAACAGACATTTGAACATCCTCTATAAAAAGGAGGAACTTAGTTATGCTAACATTGCAAGACCAGTAAGCACATTAAGGCTTGTTTTGCTCACAGGTTTTTGCTTGGACTAATATACATTGTGTACATTGTGGTTTCTAAAAAAGGCAAAACAATGTTAGAATAAATAGCAAGTTGTGGTCACTTTCCTTATCACTTGTGCTTATATCACCCCCTGGTGTTAAAAATAGTGCATTTGCCCTAAAACTAGCATATGTGGGCAAACGATGAGGATGAAATAGGGTCATTATGTTTGGAAATAAATACATTATTCTTGATAAAAAATACTGTTTAGTCACTTGTGACTTTGAGGCCCATTCTCATTCTTGGTAATGCTGACTAGCATTATGAGCTGGAAAACCCCTAACTCAAATCCAATTTACATCCATGATCTGGGGAAAATAATGAAAAATTGCTTTTAAAAGATGTGTTGTTAGTAGGTCAAACAAAACAGACAGCTCTGTTTGACTACTCTGCCTAAACTAGTAGACAAAACTTAGAAAACTGGATTTTCCAGTGTTAGCTTTGCTCTAGACAGATAAACAGAAGCGAAATGTGTTCTTAAATGTATTAGTTAGTCTGAGAAAACAAAATCTCCACTTTCAGGTTGCAACGATTTCACTTCATTTCTTTGTATCTATTTTTCATTTTCAGGACTGTGATGCATTATAATGATCCCTTATAAAAATATCGAATCAATAATTGTGAATCATAGACTTTCTGAAGTGAAATACTGCATATCGAAGTAAAATGATGGCTGGCTACTGCAAATAATACTACATGACACTGACATGCACTGCACATATTGCACCACATCTCGGTGATATCTCGGTGAGGTGTTATCTCAACTATACAGAACTTCTGTTTCTCTATTAAAAATTCCCCCATCTGCTGTAAAACACTTCCTCTCACTTGCATTGTTTACTGTGGTTCTGTTTAACTGTACTTTACAAAAGAGTTAAAAGAGTTTAATTTAATATGAATCGAATTGACTACAAGAAGCTACACAAAAAAAAACAAATAAAAAAAAAACGAGAAAGGAAAAAAAGGAAAGGACAAGACGTGTGGCCAAGTATGGTGTCCCATACTTGGAATTTGCGCTCTGCATTTACCCATCCAAGTGCACACACACAGTCGTGAGTAGTGAACACGCACACACAGTGAGCACACACCGGGAACAGTGGGCAGCCATTTTTTGCTGCTGTGCCCAGGGAGCAGTTTTGGGTTCGGTGCCTTGCTCAAGGGTCTTACCTCAGTCGTGGTATTGAAGGTGGAAGAGACTGCTGTACATTCACTCCCCCCACCTACAATCCCTGTCAGTACAGAGACTCGAACCCGTTACCTTTGGGTTACAAGTCCATCTCTATAACCATTAGGCCACAAAACAAAGCAATAACAACCAATACTTTGAACAAGCATGCATATTAAATTGATATGCATCATGACATGTCTGCGTGGACCCAACATCTAACTAATCTGAGCAGACAGAAAGTTCACAATATTTTCTTCATTACACTCTAAAAAAGATACCAGATTAGGGTCCTTCGGCTTCCATAGAGAACCATGCTTTGAAAGTGCTATATTTATTTTCATTATTATTTATTAATATTGTTTTAACCCTTCTACCTGCAGGTCTTATATCTTGTTGTGTCAATTAGGGTTGTAGCATCTATTTGGGTTTTACATTTTAAAAAATGCCAGCAAGCCCTCTCAATTAGGTACTTTTATTTTTACTGACATGGGAAATAGCAAAAATGACAGTGCTCTAACAAGTTATTAACTGGATGCCTTAATAAATGACAATAACTGACTTTGAACATGAATAAATATATCAAGAAATAAAACACAAAATAGAAATGCAATATAGAAGACCAAGTTCCAGTGAAATAGCTTCACAGTCCTCTATGATGCCTTTAAGTTCATCATTTTGTGTGTATTTTGGTGTAACTGCATGGCAGTTTCTCCTGGCAGATGATGAGGTTGTGGGATGTGACAGTATCTTGGTAGAAATACAGCTGGGAATTTAGTGTTACAATGTGTCTCTTCCATTTCTTTAAGTGAGCACAATCATATTTATGAATGCCAGAAATCAAGCGTAGCGTTAGTTCTGGCAGGTTAGTCAAGCTCGCATCAGCTGACTCTCAGCTGATCCCCATCAACCTATGGGAATACGACACCTATCTAAGTATTCATATATAAGGTCCCGCAGTATTATCAGCAGTTTTCACATTGCTCAATAGCTAATTACCCTCCTCCATCCCCAACTCCTCCTCTGTCAGTCAGGATTCAGCCTTCTGATTCTCCTTTGAATCAGAATAATTCTAAAATGTGTACATAACATTATTGAACTTTAACGATATCTGCAATACATTTATGTTGGTTCTGTTCTGTTTACCCTGGGGTGGGGGTAAACAGAAAAGGGGGTAAAACTGTGTGCTAATTGTCAATCATCTTTGACGATAGTGGTCCTGACAGAACCATTGTGAATGGTGTATGCAAGCAATGTTAACAATGTTAAAAGGAAAAAGTGATAAAAAGTAGTTTTCTAACACAAAGAACCATTCTGAATCAAATTGTTAAATGTCTTACTCCCACAATCTTCATCCGTTCACATAATCCTCGAATCTCCGTACAACAGGGACTCGCGCGCTCCAGATGTGCGCGTTCACTACGCCCACGCGCACGGACGCGCGCACGCAGCAGCGAGCGTCTCATCGAGAACGAGCCAGAGCGGAGCCCAAGAGGAGCTAAACATGGCGACCTCGAATAATCCGCGCAAATTCAGCGAAAAGATCGCGTTACACAATCAGAAGCAAGCGGAAGAGACAGCTGCGTTCGAGGAGGTGATGAAAGACCTGAGTATTACTCGGGCGGCCCGTGTAAGTGTGTCTGTTTTCTCTCTTATCACAGCATTCATTAGCAGCCCGAGGTGCGGGGCTGAATTTGTGTTTATACGACACGCACTGAACCCGCCTGTCTGGACGTAAACAATAACAAACGCCCCTCTCCAGTGCGCGTTTATCTTTAGTGCTGATTAATAGATTGCCTTCCAATGGACGCCATTGAGATATTTGATAATAAACAGACGGTCACGACGAGGCCTTATAAAAGTTGCCGTGCACACAGCTGCAGTGTATGAGTGTGAATGGATTGAGCATGTGTATTTGACAGCCACATTACAGTCTCTCGACATTATAGCTGGACTGCAATCAAGGCCGTATCCAGTGCTGGACACATTTTAGCATCTAAACATTAATTTCAGGTGTCATTCGTTCTTGGAGGGTTAAACCTGAATGTTTGTATCGATGTTTACAAGCACTCAATGAATAATTAAGCCATTCACAACAATGTATTTACTCAGTTCAGCATTGTGCATTTATACCCAAAATAAGGACTCCAGCAAACTATGATGACAGGGTTGTGATTATACGGGCATTGCCTGCAGTGCTATACTAACATCCCAATCAAGATTCAGACTAAATACTACATTTCAGAGCTCACAAAAAAATAAAAAAAAATCTTTTTTTTTTTTTTTTTTTTCAGTCTGATCTTTGGAATTTTTTATTGCACTTCTCATGTTACTGCCTGCTTAGTATCAATCATTAGGCTGTACTCCTCATTTTTAAATCCCATTGGACAAAAGTGTTTGCTAAATTAATAAATGTAAAGTACTTGCTTTTGTAACTCTCAGTGATCATTTGTCACTTTTCCCGGTGTTTGAATCATCCATTTCTACCATTATATAAAATCTGTGGCATATTTATGGTAACATATGCCTGCCTAGTATGGTTTACTGACGCAGCTCTAATAAATAAGGAAATCCAAATTTTAACTACTTAGATTTTTGGTTATTTTCTAAAATTTGTATTGACATCAGATGTAACTAGAGAGAGAGAGAGCTGGAATAAAAAGTAGCTAAAATAAACTGGGCTGCTTGTTTAGGACTTTTATTTGAAGATTTTGAAGTTTACACCTTTACCTTCCCATTCATACCAAGGACAATAACAATAAAGTTTTAATAATAGTTCTAATTATTTGAGAAAAGTGAAGTCCAAATAACAGCTATAATGATAACAAAACAGAGGGATGTTATAGCTGGAATCACGGAAGCCCTTTTGGGTAATTTTACATATATAATGTCTGACAATTTTATTGATTGTTGTTTTTCATGCAGTTACAGTTACAGAACACTCAGTATTTACAGCTTGGTCAGAACCGAGGACAGTACTATGGCGGCTCTTTGCCAAATGTCAATCAGATTGGAAACACCACTATTGACCTTCCCTTTCAGGTGAGGAGCACTTTGACAGGTGAAATTAAGTAAGAATAGATAATAGGGCTGCACGATAAATCGCATGCGATATTTAATGCGCATCTTGTCAGTAAAGCCAGTTCTGTAATCAGCGGTAAATCTCCATCACGTGCGTGCTTTCACATGGAGCAGCATTTACTACACAGAGCCGTTGTTCACTGACAAGCTGCGCAAAACCACGTTCATATATGCATTAAATATCGCATGTGATTTATCGTGCAGCCCTAATAGATATGTGGAATGTAAGTTTTGTACTGACATCTTCAAGTTTGTTGGTTTTTTATCAGACGCCTTTTCAGAATTCAGGATTGGACACAAGTAGAACAACTCGTCACCATGGGCTGGTGGACAGGGTCTACCGGGACAGGAATCGCATCACGTCGCCACACCGCAGACCTCTCTCTGTGGACAAACATGGCCGTCAAATATCCTTAATGTGTCTACTCATGAAGGCAGACAGAATTATTGCACCGTTTTGGTCTGCATGGCAAACGAAAGCATATTTGTTCAAATGTCTGCGATTTACCTATTCTGACATTATGAAGTCTTTAATGTTGAATCTCACATTGATAGCTGTCCGTATGCCTCTGTGTATCTGTCACCCCCACCTGATACCAGCTGGAGGAGGTGAGAGTTTATACTCACAGTCTGCTTGCATGTGCTAAAGACTGTACATATGTGCAGGAGTAGTAGCTGTTGAAATTGCATGTCAATAAATATTCTTCATAACTATATCAAATGTTAAACTGAAAGTAGTCATTGTAATGTTGAAACTTGTAAGATGTTTAATTATATATTGTGTATTATCATTTATTTTTGCATTTGATGCTATGGCAATAAAACATGTAAATCATCTTCTTAAAATGAAAGAGCATACACAAGATGCAAGATGTTTTTACAGTTAAAGATTTGATGGTAACGTTTTCTAAGATGTCTTGCTAAGTTGTAGTTTGCTTATTTAATGTCAGTAATTATATATCATTTCTTTATATCCTTTTACCACTCTACCCTGCTTTTGTGGTACAATATAAACTTGTAATTTTAGTGAGGGGAGACTATTACCTAATGTGATCAGGCATGCTTTATGCTGTTATATAATTCTTTAATTTCTTTGTGCTTGTTCTGTAGGACCAACTCAGACTCTGCCCTGCACCAGAGCACTTTTAACCCAAACCCACAAGATGCATTTGCAGGAGGATCTCAAGATTTGCAGCCAAAACAAGGTTGATGCAATGTTTATTTAATTTTTATTTTATTGCTTTATGATTTATTAAATGCTCTCATCGATAAACTAATCCTAGGTTAAATGTTGCAGTGAACTATATCCTGTCAGATTTTTCCTACACTTGTTTCAGTGTATGATTTCATCCCTCTCTATGTACTAGTTCTTCTTCTCACTATGCCAGGAACAGGGGAATCTGAGAGTGACATGGACAAAGAAGGTCAAAAGCAGATATGGGATCACAAAAAGGTACATTTAGAAATAGATTTCTTTGATATGAATTTCATGGGATCCTTTATCAACAAAGTATTTCTCTTTTTTTTTCATAGACTACTTCAACAAGGCCCAAGTCAAACAAAATACCTGGAATCAAGTAAGTGTGGTTTCACTGGATTTTCTTATTGACGCAGATAGTGTAAAGTAGAGGGTAGGTGAATGGAAGGACCATGCAGCAGTTATCATTTGGAGACTGAAGAGTCAAGGTCATTCGAGCAAACTATTATCCCAACTTAATAGCCATCTAGTCATATCTGCTCCTTTGTAACAGCCTTGATTTATCACATCATAATCAGCACAGTGGGCTTTTTCTGTTGACATATCTATTTATCCCGGTTCCTTCTAACATCCCTCATGTCATTTCCCCAGCATATTTCCATCTCCAGATCAGGAAATGACTACATCTCTAATCCCAGTGGCACACAACACGGGTGGCTCTCTGCCAGACCTGACCAACATCCAGATTCCCCCTCCTCTCCCCACACCTCTGGACCCTGATGACTCTTCTTCCTCTCTCAGTACCTCCAACAGCACTGGCAACCTGGCCAACACTCACATGGGCCTCACTTCTGCCAGCCAAGGTGATTCTCTCAAGCATATACATTAGGACAGTGGTTCTCAATCTTTTCGACACCAAGGCCCTCCATGTAGGTTAACAGGTTTCCACTGTTACATCTGCTGCAATGACAAGTTTTAAAAAGAGTGTCCATAGATATAACTAACTAAAATAATTATAATTAAAATGATCATTTATAAGTTTAAGAATTACAGGAATTTTAAGAGCTGTATGCTCTTCGGGGATCCCACTCTTTTCTACCAAGGAATTTACATGACTTTTCTACTTTCAAGGTCATATTTATTTCTATAACACATTTAGAACAACCTCGATGGACCAAAGTGTTGTACATAATACACGAACAGTTAAAAATAAGTTAAAAGCACAAGAAAAAGATGGGTTTTTAGCATTGTTTGAACTCAGACACCGTGGGAGCGGCTCTAACAGGTAATGGTGTAAGCAATCTAGTGGGATTATGAATAAGGATTACATTTGAGAGGTATTTAGGGGCTAAATTTTAAGGGCTTTATAAACAAATAGCATATTTTTAAAAATCGATGTGGTATTGAGCTGGTAACCAACGCAGAGAGCGTAATATGATCCCATTTACTGCCCATCAGCAAACGAGCAGCCACATTTTGGACCATTTGAAGATGGGAAATGGAAGAGAGAGGCAACCCATAAAACAAGAAATTAAAATAATAAAGCCATGACAAGATAAAAACATGAATAACAATTTCAAAATCAATTTACGTTATCTTGAGGCCCCCTTTTAAATTTGCCGAGGCAACCTAGTGGACCCCATCCCTCTGTTTGAGATCCACTGTTTTAGGATATGTGTGTAAAGATGTACTGTGCTGTTACTGTCATAACACTCTGATTATGAACTTTGGACAGTTGTGGGTAAAATAAGCCCAAATATTGTATTATATATGTATTAGAAGCCACTTTTTTTCTCCCTCTGGTTAAAACCATCTAATAAATCTGTCTGCGAGCATCTAATAGTTCATCAGATTTGATATCATCAAATCACACTCATTGAAATTAGGATGCTATTTATTTAGCAGCTGGGTAGGGTTGCCCCGGCTATTACATAAATTGGAATGTAAAATCCACACTAGAGGCTTAGTATCTACTAGCTGGTTTGTAACTAACTCTGTACTAAATTTGAGTTGTTAGTGGGTTGTAAGGTTTGTGTTGAAGAGCCGCTAACAAAATCATTTAATAAGTGTGTGTACGAGTGTAAATATCAACATTATCATATATGTCTAAAGGATTGAAGTCTATCAGGTAAAACAAGAGCTTGTTGATACAGTTCAGTCAATCTGCTACTTTATTCCACCCATTACTCTCAGCCCAGCCCACAGTGACAGTGAGCATTCAGCGCCGGCATGAGAATGTAGTTCCTCTGATCCTCAACACAGACTCCCAGCAGCACCCGAGTTTTCAGCAGCTGTCGCCCACCCTCTCTCCTCCGCTTTCTATAGCACAGGTAACATTGCTCTCATTCCTCCAGCTGCTGACGAGGACTGATTTGAGCTGGTGTTACAGAAGGAAAATTAAATGTTAATCTAATCACTCAGATGCTAATAGAGCATCTCAATCTGGATCTGTGTTGAATAGGCAGTGACGATAGACGCCATGTCGCTGGAGCAACAGTTGGCTCAGTATGCTTTCTTCAGTCAGCCGTCCACACAGACACAGGGGGTCGGTGGGCTTCCTCAGCTCCAGCAGAACACCCAGCTGCCACCTGTCTCATGCAGCCAGACACAAACCTCTGTGGGCATTGATATTAACACGGTAAGATCACATTTTAATGCTTAATACCGCCATAGGTCCACAGTGGATTTCTAAATCTTGGGTGTGTATGGTCTGTCAATCAGATCATACAGGGCACTAAAAGGTTTAATTATATTGAAAATGATAACAAATACTGTACCAGTCAAATGTTTGGACATACCTACTCGTACACAAATGTAGAAAATAGCAATAATGAGTATGTAGTGGGGAAAAAAAAAATATTTAGCTTTTTTTTTTAAGTCACCTCCCTTTCCCTCTGCACCCTCTGTTTTTCTTATAACTTAAACAGTTTTGGAGTTTAGATGTTTGCCATGTACTCAGAGTGAAGTAATTAAAAAAGGATTGTGACATTATTTATCACAACATTGTTAAAAAGGAAACAGGTAATTGTGAGATAGCTAAAGTTTTAAATTAAATGGGAATCTCACAATGTTTTTGTTTTTTCTCACAATGACTTGTTTTATTTTTAATAATGGGTAAATTAAGAAATGTGTGATAAGAAAGTCACAGTTGCGAGATTTGACCTTAATACTTTCTGGTCCATCTTCATTCTGAAGTTTGGGGTCAGTAATAAGAAATGAATTTATAAATTGATCAAAATTTGCCATTACAGGAATAAATGGCATTTTAAAATATACTGAAATAGAATATATTTATTAATTATTTAATTGTAATATTATTTAATATAAATACAAATATATATATTTGTATAAAATATAAATGGTAATATTATTTCACAATATTAAAATTGTTATTGTATTTTGATCAAATAAATGCAGCCTTGGTGAGCAAAAGAGACTTCTATTTGGAAACGTGCCATTTTTACCTACCCCAAACCTTTAAATGCTAGTGTATGTAGACAAACTTTAAATTATCTATCAATTTAATTTCAAGCATGTATGGATAGGTCTTTAGATCAAACGGATTTTAAAATCATAAAAAACACAATTCAAACATGTCCAGACATTGGACTGGTAGTGTAAGTAATGAATTTTAACAAGCAGTGTTCTTTCTTTCTCAGTCAAGTTCTCAGCTTGTTCTGTTTTTAACACCTCCTCAGTCTTGACAGAATGAAGAAATCTGGAATTCATGCTTACCAAGAAAAGACGGAAAAATATATATATTTCCATTTATAAAGAATCAGTATAATAACAAAGTAATTTAGCTGATGTCCTAGTAAAAATGTCCTGGCTGCAGAGTTTACATGACAGAGTAAGCAGAGACATTGTGAATTGTTACTTGAGAGCCACAGGCCTTTTACCCTGAGTCAGAGGTCCCCTATAGGGGCTCTGCTGGTCTAACTTGGTGTTGTCCCATATAGGCTGCTTCCCTCCAGCAGTACCGCTGTAGGGTGGGGTCTTCGGCCAATCAGTCTCCAACTTCTCCGGTCTCCAATCAAGGCTTCTCTCCGGGGGGCTCGCCTCAAGTAAGGGCGAATCCAGCAGCTTCCTCCTGTAGTTTGTTTTGTTTGGAGCCGATCTGGAGCCTGTCCCTTTAGCTGCTCTGTGTGTCCTAGTCCAGTCGTGTCTCCCAGTCTCTCTGATCCTGGCTGCTTCGCTGTGTGTCTGAGCACCACTTACTCATTCTGTGTATCATGTTGATTAGCGATATAGGCCAATTTTAATGTATGCCATACTCAAAGTGCCATTGCTGTTTCACCGGATCATGTGCATATTGTGCATTTTGAGCAAAATTGATGGTTGTGTCAGTATGACAAAAATAATTGTCCTTTGAAAATTTGTCATTATTGTAAATAAATGTAAATGCTTTGAACCATGAAATAATTATAGATTTTGATAGTAAAGTTTAGAAATGAGAAAAAAAGCAAACATATTCACTATGATCTACCAGCCAATTCAAGTGCTATATATATATATATATACATATAATTATTGTTTTGGAGCAGGAATATTAAAAAAATGCTGCTTCAGCCAAAAACCTTCCTAACGATTCATAGAAGAGTCATTTTTCAGAGTGCAGACCTCTCCTTGTGTTTGTGAAAAAAGAAAGAAAATGTTTTAAAAAATACAGTCTTTTGTTAAAATGTACAAGTAAATTACTTTATAGTTCAATAATGGCTCAGCAATCTAAACATCATAAATGTTGTAAATTAATATTGTACTATAAACACGTTATATAACACACCTAAAATGCAACACTGAATTTTATAAAATATGTAACATGGGATCTCTGCTCTGTCTTTATCCAATAATGGGCCTGAAAAAGGTTAGATATCCTGTGCTAGTTGATATTATCACACAGAATTATATAGTCTTATAGAAAAAAATATATTCTTTTAGTCGCTTTGCCTTTGGCCAGGGGTGTCCAATCCTGCTTCTGGAGGGCCAACGTCCTGTAGAGTTTAATTCCAACACACTTGCCTGGAAGTTTATAGTCAGTCTGAAGACCTTTATTAGCTGATTCAGGCATGTTTAATTGGGGTTGGAGCTAAATTTTGCAGGACAGTGGCCCTCCAGGAACAGGTTTGGACACCCCTGTCTTTGCTGCTGCTCCACTCACTGCTGCGATGGATGCCACAGTCTGTATGTGGCACGTTTTCTTTTAGCATAAAAAAAAAAAAATCACAGATTTTTGCTTTGTAAGGATTCTGTTAAAAATCCAGATGAAAAGTTTTAGTGCAGGAATAATGTTGTGCAACTCCTTCCTCTTGGTCTCTAAAAGCCATTTTGTATAATTTCTGAGATATTTAGACTTAGGTTTTTGTTCATCTGTTGCTTTAGCAAAGTGTTACGTTCCTGTAGTGTACACATGCAACATATTTTTGTGTTTGAAATGAGCCAAGATGTCTTCATGTCAAACATGGTGATACAGAATTAGTGTTGTCATCTTGAATCATGAATTGTGACACGGAAGTTTTCATGGATTTAGATCCTTTCATAGGCTAAGTACATTGTTTTAGGGCCTTTTGTGAGTGATTTGTAGTGATTATCTTTAGTGTCTTTGTGTATGGTTATTTGTAATGTGTTCTTGTTTTAGCACTCATCCATTTTCGGAAGTGTCTTTGGTGATGCCTTTTACGACCAGCAGTTGTCCCCTCGGCAGACCAGCGCTTTGTCTCAGCAGGTGAGCTCATTATGTCCGCGGTATAAATAGCTAGAATTGTAGCCTACCTTAACTGCTGTAGCTCAAATGGAAGTTTTTAAGCCACTGGTCATGTAAATATAAAATTGTAGTGCAGTTCTATCTGTTCATCTAAATATGTGAAGAGCAAACTTGTCCAGAAACAATTAATTCCTTGCTCCTTACATGTACAAGCCACTAGAGGGCAGCTGAAAGCTTTAAGGTGTCAGGTGAAGGGTTTTCTGTCAACTATTCTTCAATAGTGGCACAGTAGGAAGAGCGCATGCTTACAACACAAAAGAGCTGTACAGGGAAATAGATCTGAATCCGCCCTGCGTCATGGTACAGTCCCAAATCCCCCTTCACGTTCCTGTCTAATATTCTGTTTAATATAACAAATGCATGCTTTACCTGCCATTAGTTTTTTAAATGTACTATTTCACTATTAAATGTCACTTTTAATTTTATTTAAATTTCCACTCAACAGTCTATCCTCAGACAATAGCTCAATACTTTCATATCGATGACAACATATTGTAATTTATATAATATTGTATATTATAATAAGACAGAATATAAATAAATATATTCAAAAGAAAAATTACTGCTGGGTCATTCTGAGTCAAATCAACCAAATTTCAGAAACTTCCCAGGCTCAATTTTTTTACTTTGATAATATTTTTTCTGAAGAAAGACAAACATGCAAAGTAATGAAAGCCAAAATATTAAATGTCATGGATGAATATTTGCTGAGTAAGCCACTATTTTGTAGAGAGGGGTCAAAATGGCAATTTTCACCTGAGATTCCGAGCCAAATTTCAGGGGGGTAAAAATGATGGCAGCATCATAATGTTATTATTACACAGAGATTGGTAGGTCTGTTAGTAAAATGTGTTGACTTTAGCAATATTTGTTGCATTATGTGCTAATGGTGACCATTCAAAAATGGGGAATAAGCACTTTTCAAGTTTTTCTCCAAAGTTTGCCTGTAACTCAGGAAGTATTAAAGATATCTTAATGCCCTTTTAGATATTGGGTCTAAACAAACTTTCCTTTTGGCATCTTCATTTTTAAGGCCCTGTATGGTTCAGTTCCAGAGATATTGCAATTTCAGTATGGCTCGAGGAGTAAATCGTTAAATTGAATACATTTTCAATTTTGTAGAGAGGGGTCAAAATGGCAATTTTCACCTGAGATTCCGAGCCAAATTTCAGGGGGGTAAAAATGATGGCAGCATCATAATGTTATTATTACACAGAGATTGGTAGGTCTGTTAGTAAAATGTGTTGACTTTAGCAATATTTGTTGCATTATGTGCTAATGGTGACCATTCAAAAATGGGGAATAAGCACTTTTCAAGTTTTTCTCCAAAGTTTGCCTGTAACTCAGGAAGTATTAAAGATATCTTAATGCCCTTTTAGATATTGGGTCTTAACAAACTTGCCTTTTGGCATCTCCATTTTTAAGGCCCTATATGGTTCAGTAGAGATATTGGAATTTCAGTATGGCTCCAGGAGTAAATCGTTAAAATTGTACACATTTTCAGTGGTCAAAAACCAAATGTGGGTCACTTTGCATAAATATGATACTACTTTTAAGAAATATTAAAGATATCACAATATGACTTTAGATTCTAGTTCTTAATAAACTTTTCTTCTTTTCTTTTGGAATCTTCATTTTCAAGGCCCTGTATCATTCAGTCCCAGAGATATGGGGACGCTCCATATTCAGATTGTTGAATATTACCCATTTTCAGTGGTCGAAAACTATATGTTGGTCACTTTGTATACAGTCAATACTTATTTTATTTAAAGAACGATGTCTGAAGAATAAATAATGTTGAAATTAGAACTCTTTCAAAACAATATGCATATTACAGTTTCTTTGATGAATAGAAAGTTCAAAAGAACGGCAAAAGAATGTCTTTAATTCAATGCATCCTTGCTGAATAAAATGATAAATTTCTTTAAATAAAATAAAATAAGTAAATTGTACTACATGTGTGATTATATGCTAAATTTGGTTTTGGTTTGTGTATCCAATGACGAGGACCGTATTTAAATTTTTTATTTAACCGAAGAAAATTATTTTTTTTCCTTGGATTGACTCTGTCAACCTTCGTCAATTAACCTATAGTCATTGAAATCGTTTTGATTCTTTAGCTGGAGCAGTTCAACATGATTGAGAATTCCATCGGCTCAAGCAGTCTGTACACTGAGGGATCCACTCTAAACTACTCTCAAGCTGCGATGCTCAACCTCACCGGGAGCCACGGCAACATGCAGGACGCGCAGCAGCTAGGCTACAGCAGCCATGGGAACATCCCCAACATCATTCTCACAGGTATTTCACCTGCCCAGTTAGATATTGCATAATATTGCATGTACCTTTGATGTACGTGTGCTGACAATGCTGCCGTGAAGCCTGGCTTCAAAAAGGTCCCTCTAAAAGTTTAGCATATTATATTACTCATCTTTCAGTTACAGGAGAGTCTCCCTCGAGCCTATACAAAGAGTTGTCCAACTTTCTGACAGGTGATGTGAGCTTTGACGCAGATTCACAGTTTCCTCTGGATGAGCTGAAAATCGATCCGCTGACGCTGGATGGCCTGCACATGCTCAACGATCCAGACATGGTTCTGGCTGATCCCGCCACAGAAGATGCTTTCCGGATGGACAGGCTGTAATCTTTAGGTATACGATGTTCATTTGTCCTTTTTTGAGATCAGTGTGATTAAGTGGGAGAGAAGCAGCATGTCTGGGGGACACTTGACCCTGTTTCTCAAAGCCCATCCTCTGGGAAGATATTGCTGAGAATGTTGCCACAGCATGCTAGGGGAAAAATGGAAAAACAGTGCTGCCACATCTAATGAATCAACCTTTTGAGCAAGCAGCCCATCGTTTCTTAGGATAATACACTCGCACCTCAGCAATTGTGGTTCCTTTAGCTCTATAGAGTGAATGTGACACTACATAAGATCCCTCAATGTTCAAGCATGCGTTCTTCCATTTCATTTCCTGTAGAAGCCTCTCCTCCTCCTTCTGATGCCTGCCATACATGCCTGTTACTTTCCTTTTTTCTTTAAATATAAATATTTAGTTATGCACTTTTATACATGCATATGCCACAAAAAAACATAGTTTATGATCTGTTTTTAATTTATTTTCCTATACAAATATTTCTTGCTTGTAAGAACATTGTTAAAAAGGAGTGTTATACCTCCCCTATTTAAGGGCAGTTTTCATGCACCTGCAACACGTTTATCTTTACACATCAACACTAATGTACTTCAGTGCAGTCTGAACATATGATTGTAATGTTTAATAGATGTCTAGTTTTGTCACGTTGTGCTCAGATAGTGGTACAGTGCTAATGTGGCTCAAGATGATCAAATTCATCTGGTTGAAAAGTGTACAACTGGAAATCTTAATATCAGAAGACACATTTACACATTTAATGGGATTATTCACCAAAAAATGAAAGTTCTGTGATCATTTGCTCACTCTCGTGTTGTTTCAAACCTGTATGACTTTCGTCTGTGGAAAAAAGTATTTTTAAGAATAGTGGCGTAGCGCATATCTGTGAACCCCCCCTGCAAAAAATGAGATTGGACCCCTCCCACCAGCAATGATGTCATGAATCAAAATGTATTGTGCACCTGCTGCAACATACTCTTTCTCTCCCATTTACTGATTTAACAGTAATGAATGTGGTGAATTATCATTGCATCGATGCATTTGACATTGTTAAATAACATGCATATTTGATATAGCTTTTTAGTCAGCCTGAAATCCCTGCAGGAATAACAATTTTGTCTATGCACGTAGAGGCAAAAGTGCAAATAGTAGGAGAATCCTTCAACAAAAATAATAATACACAAACATCTGTTATAAGCCCCGGTCTACATATTTTATACAGTATACAGTAAGCACAATAAAATTTAAGTTCAAATGCTGGCCTAGATCAGCATCGCTAATTGTAGAAAGGAAATTATACAAGCAAAATTCATGTCTTGCAGTAAGAAAATGACCAGTAAAAAGTCTAGGAGAAAAACATACATTAAAGAATAACTCTGTACTTTAGGATATATGCTGCATTTTGTGAATTTTTTTTTTTACTTTTTAGGGGCACAAAGTCTTTCACTGCAGCTTTAATGTCGATGTTGCGAGCTCGGGCATTCTCAGTAGTCAGAAGAGATAAACTGGACAGTCTTTCTTGTAACATTGTGTTCCGGAGAAAGTCTTGATCACTTTCAATTTCGAGAACGAACAATAGCAGTTGTATGGCAAAGTCTGGTGACAAGCTGTCAGTGTACTGAACCGCTAAAGCATTTGCCATTTGAAACCGGTTATTGTCAGAGAAGGACCAGGGCACAGAAAGTGTTTTTTTTTTTTTTTTTTTTGTGTCATCAAAGTAGCTATACTGAATTTGGTCTTTTAATGTGTTAATGCATTAAGCCACATTAAGCGTAATGTGCTTCATGTAGTAACATCTACATTAATTTTATTTAAAAAATCTTATAACATTATACATATATTAGGTTACACCAACAAACCTAAATGTAAGGGTAAGAACAGGTAGAAATAGCTCTTTAACATAATTACATGTTACCACTTTTTACAGTGGGAGGTAAATGCTTAACATAAAACTTTGCGCGTTGCGTTCATATTCTGAGCTCTTCTGCAGAGTTTGATCTTTTAATATCACTAATGCATAGCCACATTAAGCATAAAAAATCCACTGCGATAACGTTGCGGCTGTCTTAGAAGTATAGTGTTTATGACAAGTGGAATGTGAGAAAAAATTGATTTTCCCTTGTTGTTGTTTTGGATTAGAACATTATTAAGCCACGTTAAGAGTTTTTCACACACTTTTCTACTCCACTGCACTACCTTTGTGCTTGCGTCTCACATCTTTTGAAGTGTCTCGAGTATGACACGGCATTGTAAAAACGTGGCGCTCAAGTCAAAAGTTTAAAAGTTTGAAAGTCTTGTGTTTTTCAAAGCAAAAACACGTTCTGTGAATGCCTTTTAGAAAAGAAAAAAGGCAGGGGTGTCCTGTACGCCACTGTGTAAGAACTGTTTTTGTCCATACATTGAAAGTCAGTGGAGTCCAAAACAAAACATTTGGACCCCATTGACTTTCATTGTTTTGAAAAAAAAGAGGAATTTTTTCAAAATATTTGCGTTCCACAAAACAAAAAAAAAGCCGTACAGGTTTGGAACGACATGAGAGCGAGTAAATGATGACCGAACTTTTTAATATTGGGCGAACTATTCCTTTCAAATGTGCAACATATGCACATAAACAATGTAAAAGGCCTTGCAATTTGTTATGTATTAGGAAAGAAATCTTTTCATGCCAGTGATATGGTGGTGTTTTAAATCAACAGAATTATATATTAAATGTACAGTATGTAATGTTATAGTATGGCCTATAATCTCAGCCATGGTAACTGGTACAGTCAAAATGATGCTGCCAAGTTTAGCATTACTTGTTAGTTACTAGTTTACTCTAAAAGAAACATGAAGACAGTATGTGATCATGATGATCATTTGCATATATGTATCAGAACTATTCACTGTGATAACCAGATTCTGCCTTACGCTGAAGATGCAGTTTTTGTCCGTTTTGTTCTCTGTAGCTGAAGGTGTTTTCCGGTACTGTAAAAGTTGCTGTAACTCACAAGGTTGTCCTGGCGCACTGTTCTCATTCGTCTTCTGGTGGCTTTGTGATATCATATGCCCAAATGGGGAGGTTTACTACTCTTTTTAAATCCTGTCACTTTCATCTTTTTCATAAACAATATGGAACTGTATGTTTTTACATTTTAAAATGCTTGAAGTGGACGCTATACTGTCCCTCCGTTCAGGGGTTTCACACTTTACCCAGTCTCATGGTTTAAACACACAGATCTGTGTTCATCATCAAGTGTGCTCCTGTTTACAAAATTGAAAACGTAAATATGATATTAATGTTTAAATTATTGAAATGCTGAATATATACAAAAGATATTTTACGAAACGTTATTATCAGTGTAAAATTTCTCTACGTACAAGGGGATAATCGGATTTGGATTAATATCTATGCAAAGCATATTCAAACATACTAGATCACAAAAACAAAAAAACAAAAACTAAAGAAAAGGCTCAAACAGATGTACGGCTTTTACAGCATCTGTGGGTTCTGAGTCCGTGCAGCTGAATTTTACTCGTTACATGGATTGCTTTGTCTGTTGTCAGCAAAAAGGGAAAGAACGAGAAGCAGTTAATGCATGAAAACCGTTTCGATTGTCCGTAAGGGATTCCTCTTGTAAGGGATCTGATTGCACCGTGTACATTTCCTGTATAAAAAAAGCATGACCTACATGTGCTTTGTCTCTGACAACTGTTTTCATGAGGATTATGCTTCATGTGTTCAAGATGTAAAATAACTGATGGGAAGTATGTGTCAGGTAATCATTTACTGTTATATTCTTTTACTTGACTGCCTCATTGAAAAGAACAGCGTTGCTGAAACCAGAATGTATTTCATCATTTTTATGTAGGACCAAACATATTACTGAAACTAGCATTATTTTTGTTACTGTGATGTTTGTGTACCTTTCCATGTGTTTAATAGCTGCCCTCCGTGTTGTTGTGGCGTCTCCATTTCATTCGCAGGAGGCTGCATTGTACAGAAACTCATAGCTATTGAGCTGTGAGCGGTTTTTGTTTTTTATTTTGCATGTCTGACCATCACAAGTATTGGTGATTGATGAGCTGTGCACTTTTATCTCTCTGATATTTTATTTTACATCTCTATATATGTGTTCTGCATTTGTGAAATTACTACATGAAATCACTTCCTACATTTACTTAGCACTTTAATCGATACCCAATCCATTTCCCCCCCATTTGTTTTCACCTCTCTGAGTGACTGTTAAGTGCACTGGGTCTATTTCCCCCTCTGTTTGGCCGAATTTGCCTTCTACTCTAAGACAAGTATTTTTGAAAAGGAAAAAAAGTATCTGTTGCCTATTTATTATTTTTTACTTGGTCAATGCAAAACAAAACAAAAAAACTTTATGTAGAGTTAGGAAAAAGTTTGAAAGTTCCCCGATATTACCGAAATGCATTCAAGAAGGCAGGTTACCTTTCTGCATCTCAATTCACCGTAGACCATTTGACCTTTTATAAAGCTTCATCTTTGGATCATAGTGTATCATTACCATGAATTGAACCAATCCAGAACATATCTGGTCCAGCAAGGAGAGCATGCAGACAAGACAAAGTCCTTCATCATTGTAACCCATAAATTATTCAGTATCTAATGTATGCGAAATAATATCTTCTTATGTCTTTGTTTTGTAGTATTTGCAGTAGAACTGTTAGTTTCTGGCCGATATTCTTTTATTTTGCGTTTTGTGTGTGTGTGTGTGTGTGTGTGTGTGCATTGGGAATTTGATGTTTAAGTACTGTAAAAGTTGTCTTCACATGCTCAAGGTCTGTTTGCTGCAGTGTGTTGTAGATTTGTGATTTCTTTGCAGTGGTTGCTTTATCCACTCAGTTCCTAGATTTCCAGATATCTAACTTGGCCAGTTTTCTTTCATTCAAGAATGTTTTCATAAGTGTCCTAATAATGCAGAAAAATGAAATGTATTTATTTTGCAGGATACAATCTAAAAACGTAAGTCGTGTTTTCATTTCGTTAACTTGTATATCTGAAGCAATGTTTAAAAAAAAAAGTCTGTTCAACATAATATAATGATGTGAACAGAAATATGAAATATGCTGAGTATTCTAAAAGATTGGGATGTATTGTTTTTTAAATACCTCATTTCCATATAATTCTCACCAGTGATTAACACACTTTAAATTTAAAATTGTTTCTATATGTCCCAAACAGGAATAGGTTTTTAATTGTGCAGATGCTTATTTTTGAGTGTGCCAATAGATTTTTAACCACCTTTAACCTATTCAAAACAGTTTGTTTTTTGTGGCCTAATCATAGTTGATTTTCTTTCTATTAATTTCCAGATCAGTCATTTGCCAAAACGACCAGTTCATAGGGCCAGAAAAATAATAGTGCAGAAAGTTTGCTTGTATACTTTACATGCATTTTCTATATAATTGACAAGCCATTGAAAAAACAACGTTTGTTGTTTGTAAAAAAATTTTTTTAATTGAAATCATGCTTCAGCTACAGACTGCTACTGTTATGTATTCAATATAAAGATGCTCTTGAGTAATTGTCATTTTGCCACAGTGACTACCTAGTGTCTTTGTTGACCAACGGTAGGAATTTACTTTCGTATTTTAGGACAGCTGTATTTAAATACAAAGCAGTTATGTACCTTGATGTATAAACTCTCCCAGGGCCAACCATTTACATGAGACTCTATATGTCTTCAGCCTTCAACACTGAAAACCTGCTTTATATTGGGAGAACTTTCGCTGCATGGTACTGAATATTAAAATACCCGCAAGTCTCGATGTGATGTCCTGCTTTTTCGCAGTTATCAAGCTCTGAGTATATCTGAACTCTCTGCTAGTGCATTACTAAAACTTTTGCAACTGGAAATATCATTTTTGACGAAGTGGTTTTGTATCTTTCTTTTTTCTTTATGTACAATGCAACCCAGTGGATCTGAAACGTATACATGACAAAACTTTAAAATACTCTATAGTATGTGCATTTAATGAATGTGAACTGTCTCGGTGGTTCATATATATACAAAGGCAGCTAATTTCTATTTTTTCAATGTATGATAATTCAGATGTTGCACATACATTTAAATGCAAAGTTCAGACATTAATCTTAATTTTTTTGCAACAAGACATAACTATACTCACCAAATATGCAAACCTAGCTTTCAGGAACATAGATCTGCAGCTTTGTGGTTTGGTTTATCTGACCCTTTAAAACAAAAGGAAAATATGTTCCTATTACTACACGTTTTCTATGAAATATAGAAAACAAAATAATAATAAAAAAAGAATAGAAAACATTGTGGGCTTTGTAAGTGTGCTACTTATTTAAAACAAAATGTTATCAAGCTTAAATTCCATTGTTCTTACTGTATTTTTCTGTGTGGAAGCTTAAGTCTTTGTACCTTCGCATTAATATTTGTTTATTGAATTGAATAAAATGTTAAAAAGCATATTTGTTTGTATTATTTTCCTCTGTGCTCAAAAATATTAAGATATACGATTAAGAGAAGCTAGATCTGAGCTTATAACTATTTTATAATTATAGACTCCATACATGTAATATTGCAAAGAATTGCAATGTGATTGTTATAGAGAATAGATTCATAAAGAGAAAAGTAAATATATTTGCTAACAGTAATTGATAAATGTTTTCGATAGCCATAGGACACAAAAATAAAAATCTAATATGCAATTATTAATAGACCTCTATTATTAGGGAAAGTTCCATATACATTAAATAAATGGTCTTAATAATTTGCATTAATTTTCTTCAATATGTTGATCGCTTAGTGCAGTGACATCCTTTTCCTCATTCATATCTTTCTCTAGAACCTAATATGTTTATGGTTTGTATAATTTGTAACATGTTTATTGTGTATTATGGACATTTATCATGGTGCTGATTATATCATGTGCATATATTTAATATATTAAAAACTTCCAACATATTCGTTAAAAATGGTAAGTACTGTGTTTTTTGTCATATTCTAACCGTCTGGGTTCTGCGTCAGTGTCTGGCTGAGTTGATTCGAACCTGCGTGATGGCGTCACGCGGCGTCGCGCTCTCCCATAATGCAGCGGGCCTGAGGTTTTGATCCAGTGGAGTTCATGAGATCGGTGAGAGCGTTCGACGCAATGAGGCGGAGAGACACGACAACCGTCGAATCTTCATCTCCCAACTGAACACACATACACCATTTCTCAAGCCAACAATCACATCAGAAACATGTGGTTCCGCCACTTCTCAATCCTCCCGAGAGGTCTGTGAGTTCCTGCAATCCATTAAGCCCTTGAATCCGGAGGATTTTTCCCCCGTCGGCCGATTCGCACCGAGCAGGCAATGACAACGGCCTCCGCAACCCCGCAGCAGATGAGAGACCGGCTGCTGCAGGCCATCGATAGCCAGAGCAATGTGAGTAACCCGCTCACTCTCCTGCCGACCAAAGCTCACTTTCCCCGACACGACACAGTTAGAGCCTTATTTCGACCCGCCAAACGCCGTGTCGAGCGTCTGAATGTGTGGCAGAGCAGATGTGGAGCTCCCTTTAGCAGTTCGCTAACTGACGGGAGCCACATTTAACGTTACCCCTCGCGCTACGCTAATGGAACAACCGGACAGGCGGGATACAATCCTGCCTTCAAACATAAGCATGCATCGTGAGCTTTTATTAAAGCGGCCATCTCGATTTAATGTGCATGTTGCGATCAGACACAGATGACATGTTGCGGGAAGCCTGTCGTCCGCTAGCTGTTTCATGTCACGCTATCTGCTATTGAGCTTTGGAGCAGATTTAAAGAATTCTCTGCTCGTTTATCGCTTTTTGTAAGTTTAACAGTATCGCTAATGTCGCCAGTGAACACTGTCTGTTGTTTCCGGCTTATACACGGCATATCTTGGCTAATATGAGCTCGGTATATGTGGTTAGCTGACACAGTGGCATTAGCAAAGCGCTAGCAGACGAATTCATGCTGAGAGCATTGAGTTAGCTTGATTCTGTATCACCAAGAGAGATGAAACCTTTGTCGATGCCTTCAAACAGTCGTAGATGTGTGGTCTTGGCTGTCCCGAATGTGTGTGAACTAACCTGAGCACACAGCTGGTAGCTGTTCCGGCTACGTTGCCGTGCTAACTGGGGACGCAGAGCTAACCAACTGTCTGACTGGAAAATGTGACAGCCACATCTAATCTTGTACTAGGCTAACAATTGCTATCACAATAATATTCCCAACTTTAAGGTTCTAGCGAGTGTCTTCACCGGAGACTTTATGGTAAGTAAAAAGTGGTCGGGTTTTATTTAACTCTTACAAGATGTTTGATTCTGAGTACATTTCATACACACATTGACTATTTATGTAGTCTGTTGGGTGTTTGGCTATGGATGCCCATACAACGTTTATTGCGTTGTTACTAGTCTCTTGGGGTTAAATTGGTAAGGTTAGGAGGGTCGGAATGCTGCCCTGGAGTAAATAGGTTAAACTTGTTGTCTATTGATTGAAGTGTTCAGTTTCTGCTTCCGCAGATTAAAAGTTGTGCAGACTTTTTCCACTCTCACTGACTGTGAATGAGAGGTGAGATGTCTATGATGCACCAAATTGTAACTGATAAACTTCAGTGTATCACATTTGTTTTAATATTCTATATCTGACACTTACAAAATAGTGTGGAAACAAATTTGCTTGTGTGCCAAGTGTCAGTGTGTTTTGATTTGATTTTCTTTATATTAGACATTGAGCAACTTCATGTGATTTTCTTTATAGCTAAAGGCTGGAATGCACTAAACTTCTTTACAAAATTGGTACAGATTTTAAAACTCTAGGTATCATACACTTGTTGTCTTTGTAAAAGGTTACAGAATAAAATGGTCACGGTTTTCCCCTCAGATGGCGTTCCCCCTGGGGTAAATAGTGGGGAGGGGGGGATCGCGTTAACCCTGGAACTAAAAAAACAACCCACAACAGAGTAAAAGTAGCCCAATTCTGTAGAAAAACCAAGGACTTGGCAACACTGTGTACTGACCCGGAAAAGCATCCACCTGAGCTGACGTCATTCACCACCATTGCTTTTTCAATGATGTACGACTAGGGCTGGGGGATGTGGCCAAAAAATGATCAGGATAAAGTTTTTCATATCAGTCTATCAATAATTACCGCAATAAATTTCAAATCTTTAATTCTTTCAAGTTTAAAGGCATATTTTTGTTCCTAAGTGAAAGACTGTTAATTGTGGTTTTAATCTACTGTTTATGGTCAGAACATGACAAACACTTCATGTTTTTGAATTCTTTGCACTTTTCCAGTCATTTTTTCTTAAAATAATTATCTTAATAGAAAAATTAATTTCTGCATGTTCTAATGAGTGATATTGTTTTAAATCATGAATCAGGTTTCTGTTGCCTGACTTTGATGACGTGTCTCTTCAGCACAGTTTGCAGTGCAGGCTGCAATATTAATATAGTAATAGCTTGAGTTATTATGCAGATGTAAATTTATGTTCATTATCAAAAACAGTAACATCTGTAAAAATTGTAACAACCTCATTTTTATATGGTGAAATGTAATTATTCTTACTGTTTGAGTTTTATTTAAATTAACCATTCCATAGTAGCATACATTTAGATCATCATAACCACAGTTAAAACCACACATATAGCACCTCAACACCATGGTAAAAATGTAACTATATGGTTTCTAAGTATTTGTATGAAAATCAGTCTAAATACATTTAGTGTAAATGCACAAACACTATAGCTTAATAACAAACTAATTATATTCCATTACTCAATACATTTAATTAATGTCTACATTAATTATATAATACAATTCGATATGAATATCCCACATTTTTATCCTATGAATATCCTGCTTTAAATCACAGAGTCATTTGTGTTCTTCACTGAATTCAAGCGCTTTTTAGTGGTCGCGTGAACACATCTGCTCTAGTAAGCTCACACTGCGCTGCCTTTTAAACTTTGAGCCGAGCGGATAAATGGTCCATGTGGCACGGTTCAAATGTTTTGTTCCACTTTTGACACATAAACATTAAATCAGACATTTATTGAACTTTTATTTATTTTATCGAGGAAAATTGTATCGCAATTATCGTTATCGCCCAGCCCTATACAGGACATTTGTCCACTTACATGGCAGATGCGATGCAAATGCACATATCCGATTCCTATCAGATTTATTACCACACATGAATAAGGCCTGAAACCAATCTGAGAATATCGGAATCCATGTGCTTTTTTCCTGCTTACGCGTTAATGGGTCATATCCAATGTGTGCCACATGGGAAGAAAAATTGATCACTTGATCTATGCAATGTAAATGCGGTCTAAACGACTGTGGGTCGTTCCGAAATTCACGCAGAAACATGCACGTCATTGCTAGAAGACGCATGACAAATGAAAATGTATTCTAAAATCTTCTCAAACTGGATGGAATCATAGTCTGACGCTAAAAAATCGGAGTCTGCGCTTGTCATAAACTGATTTTTCTGTGAAATGTGTCAAAATCTGGAGACTGACTAACTTTCAGCGACTAGCGTTGACTTCATACAGCAGATTGGAGAAAAATTCTAGCAAAAGTTATTGTGTATTCCAGCCTTAGGTTTGAACACTTCCTGCCTTTAGAATATGATTCCAACATTCTTCTATACCCATTATCTTGGACAACATTTCATAGTATGTGTCATATCAGGCTTATGTTAAACTGTCTGTCTTCCTGTCTTAAAATGTCTGTCTTCCTGAACAGATCTGTAACATGGTTGCAGTTCTTGATGTTATCACCAGTTTGGAGAAATACCCTATCACCAAAGAAGCACTTGAGGTTTGTAAAGATGTACACTAATCATCTGTAATATAATATTAATCTGCCTAAGATATGACATATCAAATACTCTTTCCGGGTCCAAGTCAGCACTATATTTCAAGCATGAATACTATCCTTTTACGCTAAGCTTTTAAAAACTCAGGGTGTACACTATTGTTTCTATGCTCACAATTTCCCAGACGACAATGTTTTAATGATTCAGAAAATATAAGTCACTGTCTGGCTAACTGAGATTTTGGTATGAAGATAAAGTAAGGATAATGATTTTTCGGTAGTAGTACAGCACACACCATGAGTATATATTAGCACCGTTTGATAGAGCGTTTGGACCGGAAATGTCGCTTGACGTTAGATTAACAAACAGATAATATCTTGTCTATCATTACTCTTCATTAACACTGCATGGTATTAATTTGACAGAAAAATACTTTTTGTGAAGACTTGATATGACTTATAATATGCAATTTTGAGACTTTTCTCTGTTTCCTTTTCAATGCAGGAAACCCGCTTGGGAAAGCTGATTAACGATGTGAGAAAGAAAACAAAGGATGAGGACCTTGCCAAACGTGCCAAGAAACTCCTGCGGAACTGGCAGAAGCTGATTGAGCCCGGCCAAAGTGACACTCCGGTGAGAGGAGTGCCAAATGTTCCGGGTTCTGCCAATGGCGGTGCTCATCCCTGCCGGACAGACACGCCTCCAGCGGTCCCCCCTCCAAGCAAGGTTGCTCCTGAGCTCAAAACCAGGAATGACATCCATAACACATACTCCCCAAAGGCAGAGAAATCCAGCAGCCGAAAGCGGCGGGGGGAGCAAAGGGATAGTCCGCATCTGCCGGCCAAAATGACAAAGGCATCCTTTTACGAGCCAATGTATTCCTCTTCCCCACCATCAAATGGAATTAGGGGGAGCCCCGATCCACTCCCGGATAAAGATGATGATGTACCATCTGACAGAATCCGCATGGAACACCTTGAGAATGACAGGCACAACAAAATCCCTGTCAACGCTGTGAAGCCTCATCCGAGCTCTCCGGGGCTTACCAAACTACCTAGCACTTCCTCCTTACTCAAAACGTCAGTGTTACAGCAGCAGGCGAGAATGGATGGAGGTGGGCAGCATCAGCCCAAAAGCCCTCGGTACTCCTCGAGTCCACGCAGCATAATGCATGAGACGATGGCAAAGAGGTCTTCAGCATATGCACCAAAAGGGATTCTCTCGAGCCCGTCACAGAATTCAGCCCAAGTGCCCTCGCCTTTGCCCACACTGCAGCCTTTAATGTCACCGGCCCAGGTGTGCATCGGCGATGGTCCGTCATCTGTGGGGCTGGAAGGCTCGATGCACTTGCACAGATCTACGGATACACTCTTCCAGCCCCCACACAGCACTGCGACACTGGAGCCGCTCTCTGGCTCCCCGCTCTCCACACATGGCTTGGAGGGCATGGAGACTAAGGGGGAGCGGGGTAGAGCGACCTCCAACTCGGAAGGCAAAAAGCGGAAGAAATACAGACCCAGAGACTACACAGTAAATCTTCAGGGGCAGTCTGCGGAGGACAGGACCAAACCCGTGCGGTTAAAAGAGCGTAGGTTGACGTTCGACCCGGTGACCGGACAGATTAAGCCCCTCACTCCAAAAGAATCCCACCACGAGGCAGAGTGCCAAGGCCCGCCAATCGCAGAGCCTTCGGTGAGGACTGAGATGCCTCAGCAAAAGACACCTACGTCGGTTCCCAACCCCTTTCAACAGACAAACTGGAAAGAGCTGTCCAGAAATGAAATAATTCAATCGTACCTTAACCTTCAGAGCAATGTCCTCACATCCTCTGGAGCACAGACCCACGGGGCGCACTTTTTCATGACTGAATATTTGAAGCGAGAGGAACACGACGTCAAAGAGACCCAAAAAATGCATGTTTTAGTACCGAGCAGCTCCCCGACAGAACTACCCGGGGTGACTCGGGACGTAACGAACGAGGACCTTCTCAGAATACATAAGGAACACTGGCCGGGGGTGAACGGTTGTTATGACACCAAGGGAGCCTGGTTTGATTGGACAGAGTGTATATCGTTGGATCTTCATGACGATGAGAGTAAATTGAACATCCTGCCATATGTTTGCCTAGACTGAGAGAACAGGGCTTGGAAAAGTTTTCAATGTTCCCACTGTGAGTCGTAGGAGATCGAACCGACTCTCCTTGTCACTCTGTACTAGGTTCATCTTACAGGTGTAAAGAACGAACCAACGGCGGTTGTTCCGAGTTCAGTTTTCCACAAGAAGGAGCTGAAGTGATGTCCTGTTTGTGATGTGCTGCTACCAACAAGAATTTGCAAACAAGGGTTGTATATAATGGCTCGCAGGGATTTAACTGGGCCAGTTCTTGCACAACGTGTGAATAGGAGGGTCTGAGCAAGCATTGAGCAGTACAGATATGTTTAAAAGCAAGTCGAGAACATTTTTTGGCAGTTACAAAAAGCTTTATGTGACAAAGAATAAATTATAAAAGTTTCTTATCATGTATGCATCTATTTATTTGACCATTTTTGTTTCTTAGCAGAAGGTTATCCACTAAGATGTGCAGATATGTTTGAGGCTTTTCTGTTCGCATCAACAATTGTCCCCTTATTTGTGCTGTACATGAGGCATATATAAATACATTTTTTCCCACAGCGGCTCTCACGTACGTGTGCTAATTGCAGTAGATACCGACATTCCATTCCGAACTGAACGTCATTTCTCGCTTAACATTTCTTTCTCGATTTATTTAATATACGTGATTTTCATATGAGAGAAAAGCAATCTATTTTTAGATGTTAAAACAATATTTTAAACGAATCTGTTTGCCTAGATAATTGTCAAAAGAAAAATATGGATAAATGTCAAAAAAAGAGAAAGTATTCATGTGCTAGAAGAAAACACAGTGAATGGCCACAGAGGGTGCTACTTTTCATCTTCAAACTGTGAGGACAGGAAAGCAGGAAAATGTTAATATGCTGGAAATATACTTGTTACCATTCCTTTAGATATTGTTTGCCTTACTGAAACCATTCAACAATGACTTTCTTATTTGAAGAGCCTTAGTGAATGTATGGCATTTAGACTTTTGTTTAGGTGGTACAGAAGGAAACACCTGCATCTGCCATATGGTCTTTTTTTTCTCAAATGGACGTATTGTGCTATAAATGTGTCCATAAATATGGGCGTTATCCTGCTTGTCTGTACATAGTTCTTGCAATCCATGTAAAACCTTTCGAAGTCTTTTCCTTTTTTTTTTTTGTCTTTTTTCTTTTTCTTTTTTTTTAAAGTGGGACTGTAATGAATTTGGGAGGAAACAAAGCATTTAGAATGGAAGACCCAATCGTTTGTGTTGCTGTTCACAGGCGTCTATAGACCTAGATTGATAGGTTGTGGTCCTGTTATTCATTCAGTGTTTTCAGTTTGACATTGATCGTGTTTTTTTTTTTTTTTTCATTCAATATTTTTTTTAATGCCTTGCCATTGTTTTGAAGACAAACGTCTTGTGAAGGGGTGAAACCAATTTGCTGCCGACTTGCAAACACTGTGTGCTCTGCTACCTTCATCCTACCAATGTGCCTTTGATGTAAAAAGTTTGGAAAGGCTTCCGCTAGCTTCACTTGGTTTCAAAAGTACAGCATAAGTTTTTTTTAAAACCATGTCAGATAGTCCAGGGATATGCATTGTTTTTGAAGCAAAGGCCATCTAAGAGCTCAACACTTGGTTAGGGTATTGCAAATATAATTTGCAATTTATAACTAGAGGAGAGACTTCTTTGATCATTTTTGATCAGTATATTTGTTCAGTGTTTAACATCACTCGTTTGTTTGAAAAAAATAAAATGATCAAAACTCTTTGCTTCATGGAACCCTTTCTTCCATCAAGGTTATTTGTCCCAAACCTACATGACTGACATGTTCATGAGAGGAATATCTGTCATTTAATATTTCTGTTCCTTTTCAGGAAAATATTTGTCATGCTAAATGAATCAATAGTAAATACCAAAATGTGTTGTAATGTACTATTCAAGTGTAATTGCTGTAGTCTATTTGCTTGTTTGATGTGTCATGGAAACCCCCTTTAACTGAAGCAAACCAGAAACTTTAACCAAAAGTGGTTGCAGTATAAACCTACTCAGCCTGTCTTAAAGGGATAGTTCACTGAAAATGAAAATTCTTTAGTTTACACCCTTCACGTCATTCTAAACCTGTATAGTTTACTTTCTTCAGCTGAACTCGACAGAAGATTTTGAAGAATGTTTCGGCTTATTTTCAGTTAGCTTTATTCAGCTTAAGTCAATGTGGTTCAAAGCAACACTGGACTCCATTCAACAGCTTAACACAGAACATGTTTTTGCTGTGAAAAATGAACATGTCTGACTGTTATGCTTATGCATTTTGCACCACCTCGTATTTAGCATTACGTCACTTGCTCACCAATGTTCATCCTCTGCAATGAAGCATCACAATAATCCACAAATAACTGCCATGACTCCAGTGCATGAATTAACATAGACAAATCCATCATTTGCTTTTGGCTTAAATGTGTCCTTCAATCATAATATTACTTTCTGCAGTGAAAAAGTTGTCTCATCTGAATCAGGAAAGAAATATGCACAGATCAAGCACCGTTTACAAGCAAAAACAGTTCAAAACAACTCCAAACAAATATGTCAGTTAGATTATTTTTTATTATTTAGGGATTATGTATTATGGAATGGTATTTTTTTTTGCCAAAAGCGATGGTTTAAAGTTAAAATGCCTTGATTGATTTGTTTCTTACAAAGAGTTTTTCACTTCACAAGGCAAATACTGATGGATTGGAGTCGTGGATTATTGTGATGTTTTTATCAGCTGTTTGGACTCTCATTCTGACGGCACCCATTCTGCAGAGGATCCATTGGTGAGCAAGTGATGTGATGTTAAATATCTCCAGATCTGTTCTGATGAAGTTCTTGGATGGCCTGGGGGTGAGTACATTTTCAACAAATATATATTTTTGTATGAACTATTCCTTTAAGGCAGAGTGTTGTAACAACATGAGGGGATGTAAATAATGGCAATTTCATATTGAAATGAACAATTTCTTTAATAAGCTGTCTGAAGTCAAATCTATCTTTATATTTCATCAAAAAAACAAAAGTGCTTCAAGAATTAAATTTTTTTTTAACTTAAGAGAAAATTATTACACTTAATGTTTACCACTGGATTTACAACGTGCCTCAGTAACAGTTCAAAATCTTGTAAATAGACTTCCATTATTAGCATGATATCCTATCTTGCATTGCTTCCTCAGCATTTCAGAGAAACATTTTATGAATGTTAGTGACATCATTCAGTAGCCTGCCTTATTCCCAGAGGTGACTCATTCCTCAGCTACCGCGAGTCTGGAATACCGGGATGGACACTGGGATACTCCCATTGTAAAGGAATTTGGTACTTTAGTGCCATATATGGAGTTTTTGATATCAATCAGGGCCAAGAAGGAAAGAAAGAGGCGGAGTCTGCATTGAGCGCGCGCTCTCATTGGTGATGAGGTAACCGAGGGGACGTTATGGATCTACATATTCTAAAATAGTAAATCAGACAAAACTATCGAACTTTTTCCGAAGTCTTTCTTTCAGTTCCCGACAGCCTGTTTTGAAACTGTGGCTGCTCTTGTCTCTGACACAATGTCTTCGCAGTTCAACAGAGGTCCAGCATACGGGTTTTCAGCGGAAGTGAAAAGCAAGGTACGTGGTATAATCAACAAACTAGTTTAAAACATTCGTGAAAACGTAGACATGTTTTGTTTGCCATGTTGTAGCTCATATTTAATAGAAATCACTTCGTCTCATTCTGATGAATCTAAAGTGTATCACATATTTCCTAAACTTCCTTTAGTGTTAACATGTAACACACGTGTTACGATACAAGGTTAAATATCAATCGTGCTTCATGTAATGCATATTACATTATGTTATTTGCTGGCAACTAGCTGTCAAGTTAAAGTAAGTAAAACGCAAAAGAAGTCGCGGAAACAGTAAAGAAAGTTCTCAAGAAGTTCTTGGGGCGTTGCCTCCAGTGCTCAAATATGTCATTGTAATCTGGCCTATAAACCACACAAGTTTGTGCTCACAATAAAGCTGCTACTGGTTCACATTGCTCTTCCTGATAGGTGTTGATGTGATTTGAGCATACTAGTATCAGTTAGCAGTCCTGACGTTTACTAGATAGACAGATTTATGGTGTTAGGCCTTTGATTTCCTTATTTTGATGTTTGACTATATATTTAGACATACATATAATTATCTCTCACTCACCTACATGTTGTTTCTTTATATATTGTGGGGCCTTAAAGAAATGATAATGTAGATCTTGTGTTATTATTGAAATAATGAGCATAGAGGTGTCTTATAGTCTGATTATTGTATCATTATTAATCAATGTCATATTCATATTTCAATTAGATTGCACAGAAGTATGACCATCAGAAGGAGGAAGAATTACGGATCTGGATTGAGGACGTTACTGGGCGCTCAATTGGTGATGACTTTCAGAAAGGGTTAAAAAATGGTGTCATACTCTGCGAGTAAGTTCCCATCATGTCTTTTCAATAATCACTTCACAACATACCTTTGTGTAACCTTGAGGTCTTGCTGTTTCCTTAAAGGCTCATAAACAAACTTCAGCCAGGGTCTATTAAAAAGATCAACCAGTCGTCGCAAAACTGGCATCAGGTGAGCTGACCTTTCCCACTTCTCTGAAATGTTTATTCCTGAACGGTTTAGTAAAGCTAGAGACATTGAACTGACATTGACTTTTTTTTTTTGAAAACATAGTTGTCTGTTGTGTTCACTTAAACTGCTGATAAGATTGTCTATTATGGTAGAAGGTTATGTTTTGTCTGTTTATTTCCATTAGATTGCACAGAAGTATGACCATCAGAAGGAGGAAGAATTACGGATCTGGATTGAGGACGTTACTGGGCGCTCAATTGGTGATGACTTTCAGAAAGGGTTAAAAAATGGTGTCATACTCTGCGAGTAAGTTCCCATCATGTCTTTTCAATAATCACTTCACAACATACCTTTGTGTAACCTTGAGGTCTTGCTGTTTCCTTAAAGGCTCATAAACAAACTTCAGCCAGGGTCTATTAAAAAGATCAACCAGTCGTCGCAAAACTGGCATCAGGTGAGCTGACCTTTCCCACTTCTCTGAAATGTTTATTCCTGAACGGTTTAGTAAAGCTAGAGACATTGAACTGACATTGACATTTTTTTTTGAAAACATAGTTGTCTGTTGTGTTCACTTAAACTGCTGATAAGATTGTCTATTATGGTGGAAGGTTATGTTTTGTCTGTTTGCATTCAGCTATTTTACTCTGTTGCAGCTGGAGAACCTGACCAACTTCATTAAAGCGATCACCACCTACGGACTCAAACCACACGATAGTTTTGAAGCCAATGATCTGTTTGAGAATGGAAATATGACACAGGTTCAGACCACCCTCCTG